GCCTAGTCCTGTGATCTGGAAAGGTCTGCAAAGGAGTGAATTTTGATCAAGTAGAGCACTGCCTATTAGTCAACTCTTATTTTTGTTCCTATTTTTCTTAAAACCTCCTCGCTGCTAACATGCTCTATTCTCAGCATCCTTCTGTAGTGCATCATCTCTGCTGTTTGAGATTCTTCCCAAGTGTTTCTTTTATAGCTCTTCTTATTTGGCTAAGACATTTGTTCAAAGATATTCAATGTTGTACATGTTACATCATGTAACATATACAATGTTGTATATTTTACATCATGTAACATATACAATGTTGTATATGTTACATCATGTAACATACAATGTTGTATATGTTATATCATGTATGTAAGCTTGTGTTGAGTTGGTTGACCACAAAATAATGTAGAGACAATTACAGACTGAAATTGTGTCTACTTGTTTTGTTCTATTCACCAATTCACCAACGTCCACCTTTTGGCAGAAAGGGTTTCCTTCAAGATATAATGATGTCTTATTTATTTGAATGTGTGTGCGTGTGTGTGTATATATATATATATATATATATATATATATATATATATATATATATATATATATATATATATATATGGGTTGCAGACAGACTTGAAGTGGGAAATAAAAGCTCTCAAATAATTTTTCCATGAAGAGAGCACAGACACAACTACTGATAATATGACATAATACATATATCTAGAAAGGGTTATTGTCATGATCTTCCATCCCTGAAATGAATGACAAACTTTTCCTTCCCTACATGTAAAGCTTTTCCACTTTAGTATTGTTTTCTACCTTGAAATAAGAGGCTTTCCATAAACCATGTTGTTATATTTTTCAATGCATAATTTTTCTATTAGGGGGATGGAAAAAGGATTAAGTCCATAGTTCAGAATTTTTTCTTTTGTCCTTTCCCTACCCATACTTACATACTTAGAAATTACACATATTTTCAGCAGACCCCACATATATATATATATATATATATATATATATATATATATATATATATATATATATATATAAAACAGAGTATGTCTGTCTGTCTGCCTGATACTTTTTCACTTGAGATTCATCCAACTGATTCTGACCAAACTTGGCATATACATTGTACAATGTAAGAGATAGGTTCTTAGCAGAAAAAAAATCAATAATCGATAAAGCTGATCAAAAAAATCAATTTTTATTTCTCTGATTTAATTCAAACTTGGTATGTAGGTTACTTACATCATGACAAGCCCAACAATACCTCATTTTTATTTCTACACCACTGCATTTAGCAAAAAACTGCAAAAACGAAAAATCAATTTCAGCGCAAAGAAAATTTACTGAATATCTAAAATATTGAAACAACCATACAAGAAGGTTTTATCAATGGAATTCCTTTATGAAGAACATTCAAACACTTGTGAAGAAAAAAAAAAGATGAGGTGAGGGGTAGTAGCTTAGTATACTCACAGATGATGCATGCAAGCAGGGACACAGGCAGACATTTCTAGACAGGAGAGTGCCATTATATAATTACACCCATGTACACCTGGGCAATGCTAGGTACCTTGGCTAGTCTCTGATAAAAGAATAGATGTTTCACAGTCACAACTGTAATTTCTCTTTTTTACACCAGATTTACTATTTGGACTATATTAAACTGTATTTTTCTTGTAGCAATGATAAAGCAAAAGGAAAATTATCTGAAGGCAACAAATACACCTTAAGAAAGATAAGTAGCATATCAAATGAAACACTAAAAACAAAGATGAAGATAAAATAGCAGAAAAAGTAACAGACTATTCAAATTTCTTTTGCACAAAGGAGGATGGGTCAATGCATAGTTTGTAATCCACCATGTTGTGTAAAAGTCATGATTTCAAAACTAAAATAAAACAATTAATAAAAAAAGAATAAAGACTGAAAGATGAGCACAAAACAAAATAAAAGACTGAATAAAAAGAGGATATAAAGAATTAGTAGAATGGAGAAAAGAATATAAATCTTAATGAAATAAAGAAGGAAAGAGAAAAAAAAGGAATAAAAAAGGAAGAAGCAAAATTGAAGAAAAAGAAGAAAAGAAATAAACAAATAAGAAGAATAAAACTAAAGATGAAGGAATGAAACAAGGAATCAAAACATATGTGTCCTTATGACTGAAAAATACATTCTTGATCAGGACCAGTGCATACTAACTCCAACCGTGGTGGTGGTGGTAAGTCTTCTTGAGGGCCTCATGCACTGCTTTGGGACCCTCGGGATCTTATCAATATTTGCTTTTTACTACCTACATTTATATACATTACAAATTAAACTAAACACAACAGACTGTTAAAGGATTTTGATGTTATTCTGGTGTTATTTTTCATCCAAATTCATAAATTTGTTTTGCTCATGTTAAGTCTGGAAAAAATACAATATATAATTGACTATTTTTTATCCATATTATTGAATGTGTTAAAATTAGTCAACTATTTTACAAGATAAATCACAAGTTGATTATAAAAATTGCTGCAAAACATTGTTGATTTATTTAAGATGGAATGATCTATTATGACATATCTTTAATTTGCATTTAAAAAATTATATTTATTTTCAATTTTTCTAGTTGAATTTTTCACCTATATTGCATATGATCCATTATTGTACATAATTACGTTACAGTAAAATTTGTGTTTTATAAGAAGTCTGAGAAAATTGAAATGTAGAAGAGTGGCAGGACCTGTATCATAGATGGGGGGGGCTGTATCATAAATTCGAGGAGTGACCCCCCCCTTGCACCAACTCTGTTCTTGATAATTATTTCATCATTTTGTTAGACTTAGAAAGCTTTGCCAAAGAAATGAAAACATATGAAATAAAATTAATCCCCAAATTATATTGAAAAAATAGGCATAAATATATATGAGGTTTAATTCCCAGAACAACAGCAATATGTCACTAGAGGAATGATGTAACATATGTACTTTAGCATGCCTGAGTGTATTCTCACTTTCACTTTCTTGAAATGCAGACTAGTTGAGTCTTTTGTTGTTGAGCAGTAGAGGCCAATATACATGTTCATTTTTTACTCTTGGCAGAAAATGAGTGAAAGTATTCTAGAAAAGGAGATTAAAATTAACTTTCAGTGTGAAGATTGATAAAAGTGCTTGTAAAATTGTTAGTCCTATTAAAAATGGCTTACAGTGAACATTGAATGAAGAAATTTAATAGCTTTGAGTGGCACTTGTAGTCTCAGTAAAGGCAAGAAAATGTGCACAATGAGACAAAAAGTGGACAGCCAAAAACACAAAGGACAAATGCAAATGTAGATAGATTGCAGTGTACAACTGAGAGCAGAACTAATTGAAATACAGAAATGGTCTGGCAGATTCTATCAACATATTTGGGAATGAGAAAAATTTCCCCTAAGATGGTGCTGTGAATTTTGACAATTGAGTTCCCAGAATGCCCCTGTGAAAGCAAAGTTTAATTCCTTGGTCACTATTGGCTGCTATCACCTTCAAAGTGACCAGATAAGCAAACTTTGCCATATCAGGACTTACATTGTCCCACCTTTTATAAGAAATAACTTATCAATACATACATACATTTATAGATATTTAATTAAATAAATTGATATAAATGTGTAATTCAGTCATACATAATTTTTATTTACTTGATTTTTCTTTTGGTATTTAAGCTGAGCTAAGGCCAGTTTAATGTGTTGGCTATTTTTAGAATTAATGTATAAGGTCTCTATGAGAAAATTTTTCGTGTATTAATAGTGGTGAAATAGTACATGCACAAAATAATGGAAACTGATTGATCTGCAATACAAGATAACATTTATTTAACAAAATTAACAAAAGGAAAGTTCTTTACCTTGAAATAAATGGAATACACAATGAAAATTATTGATGTTTTTGGGTGTGACTTGCCTGCGTTTGCATGTGAAGCATCCACAGCCCTTTTGTACTTTGGTGGGAAAAGTTGATAGCACACACTTCAAAAGGAGAAAAAACTGGAAAAAGAGAGTTACTTAAGGGTTCATCTGTTTTTATAACCTCTGGGATGCTGCTGATAATATGTCTGTTTAGGCACTGGAATGAAACTTTGGTAGTAGAGATATTCTGTGACAACTGAACTCAAGCAATGTGTTGGTTTGAAGGCTCACTTGCCAACCATTATTCTATGGAAGAAATTCATAGATTATGCTTTGTCAGGTACAAATAAGGTATCCAGGTATTTTCCAAATTTAAAAGGGTAAGAAAAACATATTATAACTAAATTTCCAGGTGGGAAGGGTTTGTTTGCATTGAAAATCCATATTTAGTATTCTAGTGTTTTACATAAAAGCTGAAACAGTAATCAATGGTAGGAAATACTTAACTTTTTCAACCACAAGGCAGGCAGCTATTCTTTATGTTTGCTTTCCTTGACTTTACTTTTCCACTCCTATAGGGAAGAAATAGGGGCCACTAAGTAACTTCTCTTGTTTCCATTCTATTTCTTTAGTTTTCTTTTCAGCAACAAAACTATTTTTATATCCACACTCTTCCTACTTCTTCCTCTCTTTATTTTTTTTAGATTTTTAACTTTTTTCTGCCCTTCTAATTTGTGATCTTTTTGTCTTCACTCTTCCTTCAAAGACAACAATAAACACCAGAAATTTTCTCTTTCTCCTCTTCACTGCTGTTCCTACCTCTGGCTAGGATTTATTGGATCAACCACCTTCTTTCACTCCATTAATAACTTCTAATATGACTTGAGAAGTTTGCACTTAATCACACCGTCAGCGGATCTGCAAAGTGTGATAAGTAAAAAGGTAGTCACTTCCGAAATAAAAGCATTCAGATCAGTCAGCAGTTATATTTGATTCCCTCAACACACAGCCTAAAGCATTTAAAAAGTTACATTTAGGTACTTACAGAGACTGATATAATGACATAGACACAGATGACTCATATTTACTTCAACCGTATATCTATCTATTTAATGCCTCCTTATATCTATTTACCTGTTTCATGCCTCCTCCTTCTATCAATCTATCTCATACCTACTTTTATCTATTTATCTATTTCATGCCTACTTCTTTATATCTATCTATCTATCTATCTATCTATCTATCTATCTATCTATCTATCACATGCCACCTTCTATCTATCTATCTATCTATCACATGCCACCTTCTTTCTATCTATCTATCACATGTCATCTTCTTTCTATATGTCTATCTATCTAGACATCTAGCTATCTCATGCCTCCTTCTCTCTATCTAGACATCTAGACATCTAGACATCTAGACATCTAGATATCTCATGCCTCCTTCTATCTATCTATCTATCTATCTATCTATCTATCTATCTATCTAGATATCTCACGCCTCCTTCTATCTATCTATCTATCTATATCTATCTATCTATCTATCTATTTCATTCCTCCTCATATCTATCACATGCCTCCTTCTATCAATCTATCTTATACCTCCTTTTATCTATTTCATGCCAGCTTCTTTCTATCTATCTATCTATCTATCTATCTATCTATCTATCTATCACATGCCACCTTCTATCTATCTATCTATCTATCTATCTATCTATCTATCTATCTATCTATCTATCTATCACATGCCACCTTCTTTCTATCTATCTATCTATCTATCTATCTATCTATCTATCTATCACATGCCACCTTCTTTCTATCTATCTATCTATCTATCTATCTATCTATCTATCTATCTATCTATCTAATGCCTCTTCTATCTTGGTTTTGAACCACACTTTGCTATGGCAACTAGCCAATCCTTGTGAGAGGTACCAAGAGCATATAATCTGTCATGATTAACAGTTTGTAAAGCACCAGTACATTGAAATCCTCAGTCACTATGACTTGTGACTTCGTGCTAGCACAGTCATCGACAACTTCTATGCAGTTCCATCTACCCAATTTCACTCACAACACTTGAGTCAACTCCTAGTATGGTTTTCAGGTACTTTCCAAAGGTGTTGTATGCTTGAAATACCTCATCAGATTGATAACATCATAGTCACAGTTGTGACAAATCGATTATGTGACAATCAAACCGGAAGTCTCATGGTTGGAAAGTGAATGTTTAACAACTCAGCCATATATCCATGTACTGAAATGCCAAATGTGATGGCATGACAGTGTGTAAATTTAATGCTACATGGAGCCACTGTACTTTAACATCATGGAAAAGTCCGGACATATATCAGTTCTACTAACATCTGGTGATTCAGTGTGGACCCTGGCTAAGCTGCACGTGGCAAAGCATTGGGAATAGGAAGTGCCAGATAGATGAGACTTTCCATTTCTGAAAATTTAGAGGCATATGATATCTCTCGGTCTGTATCATATATCGGGAGAGGAATACATAATGGAAGGTGTTATGTCCACTGTAAATAATGCAGTGTCTCAGCATTGGGCTTTAATGATTGTGGCCAGGTGTATCTGTTTAGAATTGAAGGGTCTGCAGTAACAAGCCTGACTAGGTTAAATATATTTGTTCAGGTATAGATGAAAATCTGTTGATTCTGGCTAAGCTGCATATGGCAAAGGAATGGTAATAGGAAGTGCTAGATAGATGAGACTTTCCATTTCTGAAAATTTAGAGGCATATGACATCTCTCAGTCTATAATATCACATATTGGTAGAGGAATACATGATGGAAGGCATTACTGCCTACTTTGATTAACACAGTACAAGAGGTCAGTTCAACATTCTTTAGTTTCTCTGGGATATGAGAGGAGAAGGCCTACCAAGATTGGCTCTAAACACCATGACACAGGACACAGCCGTATCTGAACTCATGACATCAGTAATGGTACACTGAAGGACTGGCAATGTGTCCTTGGGCTTCAATGAATTGAGTTGTTTGGTGTTGATGATAGGTGGTGATATAGCCCTCATGAAGATATGGACCCCATTTGCTGACAAAGCTCTATGGGGTCAGTTTTGTAATAAAATAGATTTGACCTCATTCCTTGTTCAAAACATTGTGAATAAGATAAGAATATCATTATCTGAAGAAAATGTATTGTAACCTCATTTTGTAACTGAGGCCAAGAAAAATTTTTAAGAAAGAAAAATATGCCTAACTTCATTCTCCAAATATTTACTAAATTAATCAAATATTGTTTGGCAGCTGTTAGAAAGCCAAACATACTGATCTTGTTGGTCTTTCACTGTATGCTCAACAAGTGTTTGAAAAAAATTAGTTTTGTGCCAAACTGAATAAGTCAGAATAAGTTTTGGGACTTATTTAATCTTTATCTTTTGCAAATAAGTTATGGGAAAACTCTCAGGGATTTATGCTGGTAATGATGAAAAGCATCATTTTGGTTCAAAAAATAATGTGTATTTAATATGAGAGGCCATATTTTAATTTGAATGAAGTTGGAGCCATAAAAATAATTTAATAAATCTTTTCTACTTACCTTTGAGGAACTCATTCTCTTGGGTCAAAATAAGATGATATCAATTATTCTTAATTTAATGATAAAGCAAAAAGAGTTTGACCTAATTCTAAACAGACAGAAGATACCGGTGGCAAATTATTTTCTTCTTTTCAGTCTGTAGGTCAGATATACAATTATGTTGCAAAACTAGGTTCAATATTATTGTTTAAATAATGGTATATACAAGATGCTGGAACACTGTATTACAAATCATTATTAATATAGTGAGTTTGATTCTCATTGTGTGTTCAACATTCTTTGTGTCTAGCTAAACTTGAATATTATGACACTTTACCATATAGTAAACTTAACTTCACAGAGTTGATCCTCAGCATTTATTCCACATTATTGGCCTTGTGCTAAACTGAAGAGATTATTACATTTTTTTTTATATTATAAACAATTCATTTGAACTGGTGTCCTCATCATTGTAGTTACTATTATATTTTCTGGTGTTTTGTTTCTACTTCACTGTTTGTTGGAAAAAAAAAAACATGTCTGAACACACAAAAGTGTAAACACACAACACCTAAATACATAACCAGGCAAACTTGGACCTTCATGATTGCAAAAATATGGTGTGTCAAAAGATGGTTTTTGCATTGACACCACTATTATTTTAACTACCTTCACTCCTCAGCAATGTTTATTGTTTTAAAAAGCAATGATTAGAATTGTAATAAAACCATAACATATAAAAGTGAATTTATACATTATTTTGTTCTTGAGAATTTACAACAAAATTTACATTATTTATATATTACATTTTTTTTTTGAAAAAGCATTAGCATTTCCTCCAAATCAACCTACCTCTCTGTTTGTGTATCAACCAATGGGGCCAGTAGAAACAAAAGAAAAATTTTGAGTGCCAAAAACTAAGTTCAACTGCATATCTGTTGTAAACAGTCCAGCAGGCAATGTAGTAACAAAAACGGGGACAAAAACCCAACATTGCCCTCACAACAGCAGAAACGCACTTTCACTCACCAAACTCAAAATCATTCTGTCCATAAGCAAAAAAGCAATGGCCTATATTCCCTGAGCGATTTTTCTGATTGGCCATGCCAGACAGGGAGGAAAGAACATTAGCATAGTTCTTCTAATAATTAAAATAGCAGCTTTATTGCTAACAATTTTCTTTAATTTTCCTTCAGATTTCTTGCTGAAGAAAATAAAGCCATGTTTTCTCTTGGAGAGAAATCAAATGTAAATAATGTCTCTGCACTGGCATTTTACCCCTGGCCACCTGGTAGGCTCATTTTGTTCACCTGTTTGTTCTCAAAATCTATTAATGTTTATAGTAATATAAGATTCATGCCAGGAAATACTGGAGGTCTGAATCAAATTTAATGTCCATCAGGAACCTTTGACCTAAGAAGAGTTTATCTGTGCTGGCTGATATATATATATATATATATATATATATATATACAGTATAACCCGGATATAAGAGAGTTGTCGGGACCGGAGAAGAAGTCTCTTATATCCGGGTTTGGTCTACATTTGTTTAGGTAAGTATGGGAACACTTTGGGACCAGAGAAAATCTCTCTTATATCCGGGTTTCTCTTATATCCAGGTTACACTGTATATATATACAGGGCTACTCATAGATATACCAAACTAAGCTTTGTACTGGTTTCACCTACGGGAAGTCAAAGATTGTAAGATGGTTTTTAATTTCAGAGAAGAGGAAATCTTTATTGATGTGTTAATTTGCTGTTGTGAAGTCAAGATAGAAGCTATACAATTTTCTATTGGAGAGGTATGTAATTTCCTGGAGCTGTTTGATGACATATATGCCATCATTTCACCTCTTAGCAGAGCAAAAATCAAATTAGATTATGAGGTGTTGATTTTCATAGAATGTTGAGAACCAATACAATGTTCATTAGCACTTTCACCATAATGGATCCAGTTGAGAAATCTCCGGCCTGTAGAATGGAAAATGGCTTACATCCTGGATCAAAATGCACTTGTATGTGTCTTGCATGCAAAATACATAAAAGAAAATATGGCTGATCCAAAAGCTGCAATTTAAAAGCAACTTCATCTTGGAGCTTGGAGATTTTGCAAGACAAATTTGTGGCTGATGCAAATTTCTGAGCCTGAGCCACTCAATAAAATGAGCATGTCCAAGAGAATATCAGAAGGGCTGCAGACGTTTGACGGGTCAAGTGGCTGTGCTTTGTGTGTGGAATTCCACAGTAGTCTCATCGATTGTGCTAAAAAAAACAGGGTACAACTGGTACTCTAAATAGATGTACTTTTTTTTTACTACATTGAGTACTACCTTTTTATTTCCATTGTGCATTAATGTGCAATGTACTCAACTGTTTTGCATTACAGCTCTGATTCCAGACCTTGTTCAGGAAACTGTGAAATTTTTCTTAAATTTTGGGATAGCGTACACTACATTTTTATTTAATCTTTTTATAGCTTTCATGACTTCCTCATGACTAAGTTCATTATTGTTTGCATTTGGAGACAGATTTTTTTAATGATTGGATCTATATTAATGTATATTCTATTTTTATAGGCATCTTCAGCTTAGTGGTCTTCTGGGATGTTTGTTCCATAGGGCAGTGTTTTTTTTAACAGTAAGCTTCACTCTGTTTTAAGGCCCCGGGGCCACTCAAGATAGGGGATTACAATAAATAGTATTTTATATGCATAAGAAGAGAAGATAATGGTTTACTCTAGACTTATAGTGATCAGGTAAACATCATTTGGGGTGTCTCTTCCATAGAGCTGTGGTTCGTGGGAAGAAGCTGTTTGTGTGAAACTTACTAGTCGCCAACAGAATACAGAGGGAATGTGGATAGTTTGATACTATGTAAGTAGAATGGCTGGCCCTAGCCATGAAAGTCTGACCTGGTGGAAGCAGAAGAAGCAGATCATATGTGCAATAAAACCTAAACATATAATGTCAGTGAATTTATACATTTTTTTTTTGTTTTTGAGAATTTACAACAAAATTATTAAACACTATTAGATTCCTTATTTACAAGAATTATTTTATATTTACAACATTCTAAAAACTAATACAATTAAAATTAATAATGCAATGCAATATTTATCATTTACCAATTTATAAGGAAATAAATATAAAAACAATTTTTTATACCATAAATTTAAAATCATTTACTAAATTATTAAAATATGTGAATCAACTTTAAAGAAATCCTTATTATTTACCATTTTATAAAGTTTGAATCAATTGGCAATTAGTCAATGTTTTGCCAACCACTTCAAAAAAAATATAAATAAATAATGTAAATTTTGTTGTAAATCCT